TCATGGACAGCAGGGTCCACGATTTTTGATACCGGGTCCTGGAGCTTGTTGCTGCCTTCGTCATTCTGCGATTCGACCCGTAAGTGGCGGCAACTCCTCTCGCCAATCGTGAATGACTCCGCCGAACAATCGCAGGGGCTATGCCCGGAGCCACGTTGGATCTCTTCTAGGGTGAGAGCAGTCGGCAAGTGCATCAAAGGCGTCCGGGAGAGTATCACACTGGCAGCGAAATATTTAACTGTCAGAATAGCCTTGTCCGAGTCCGACTCCATAGTCGATCTCTCTATTGCATTCAGACTGCCTCGTCTGGTAGTTTCCCAGTCCCTTGATCGCAAAAGGATAGATTTGCACTCGGCGATCCCTCAGGTTGGAACATCTTCCTTCATGCTCACTCGACAAACTGTCGACCGTTTCCGGGAGTGGATTTGCCGACTGATCGCTATTCTCGGCTGCCACCTTTTTTTTTTTTTTTTTTTTTTTTTTTTTTTTTTTTTTTTTTGTAGCATCTACATTAATCTTCATGAACCCGAGGGAGGCTTCTATTAAGGCACCATTCGAGCTCTCCATGCTACCCATCCCAAGCACACGTATATCCCCGAGAGTCGCCGGAGCTAGGAACCAAGTAGAATAGCGCCATCCACACAATGCACCGGTAGCCTCCTCTGCCGACTGCACAACCGGGATGAGCCAGCTTCATCTCCAATTATAGGTTTTGTATTTCATTATCTGGAAGATGAGGCTGTGTTCGCGGAGTGTGGGTAATCATTGAATGAGAGCCACATAATTTTAGGCGGGTCGAAAGTCGGTTGATCAGTGCTTCTCTCCTCGCCACCCGCCGACGGGACACCTTCCGGAGCCTGCGAGATGGAATTTCCTTGAGACCAACGGCTGACTCACTCAAGCTCTCGGCTTGATCGAGCCTCCCGCGCTTCGCAGTTAATCAGACTAAAGCTATTCTGGAACATTTTGGAGAACCAGTCGGTCGGAAGGTCCATCAGTCGCCGCGCCTCATCTCGTCACCGCGTCACGATTTCTGGAAGTTCATTTATTTGGTGCCACCTGAGCAAACGGCATCACGTGCCATTTGATTGCGCCCAGACTGCTTTGAGATTGTAAATCTTTAATTCCCCTTGCTTTTTCTCAAATTTTCCTTTTTCACTATTTTTTTTTTTTTTACTTCACCGTACGTGGCTTCTCAATAAGACATGCATTCTAATATACTTAATTGCTACGTGCAGGAGATATGCAATTTATATGCGTCGAGTCCCATCTGTCCTGTATCGGAGGCAGACTATAACCCGTTTTGTAATTGATTTGCGTCTAGTCGGCGGGCTCAATTTTCTTGCTGTGATGGTATTAGAATGCGTATACTGAAGAGTCCATTTTACAAGCCTCTTTTAACAACATACTGCTTGTCTGGCTCAAAATAAACAACTCTTCTCGCATAATCAAGAGTAACATTGGAGAAAAAATAATTGCGACCACGGTGTCTACCGTTAAGGTCGTGTTGGAGGAACCGTTTGTTCAGCGTCCCGAATTCTTGATTCCCCCGGCCGAGTCCCTCGGTGTGATGGACCGACCCTTTTTGCCAACAACTTTAATTTAAATACTCCATAAAATTTATATAATAATGGTTACCTTTTGTTGACCTCAACGTGTAGTATTATTTACTTGACTTTCCTCTAGTTCTCTTCTTGGTCCACGGCTCTCCGTGAACCTTCTCAGTCTTCCGTCCGTAGTGACCGGACGCTCTCCGAAATTGCTCAGATAAAGAGGCAAACGTGACCTTTCGTCACGATCCCCACAGACGGCGCCAGTGTTGGTTTTTGGGTTTTCGGGCCCAGGGAGGTCCAACACAACCTTGGTCGGTGGATTCACCTTTCACATGCGGCTTATAGGAAAATAAGTAGAAAATATAACTCGATGCTTTTGTACGTGGAAACCGAAAGGAAAACCACGGGCCTTTTTGGGCGGTGCCAAGCCTAAAGACTTTCACTATTTTTGTAGGTATTTGTACATGTATTTGTATAGAGTGTATGATGTAAGAATGTGGTTGGCTCTCTTTCTTTCATGTATTGGAACTTCTCTTCTAGTAAAAATGGAGTCTTCTTGAGTGAGAGTGGAAGAGTGGCGTAGGAAGAGTGATGGGGTCTTCCATTGTGCTCAAGAATGGAATCTTCTTCATGTGGTCTTCTTGCTTGAATGAATGGAGAGTGATTGTGGGAGAGTGCCCCCATGTGTGTGGATGAGTGAATGGATCCCCTTTCTTCTTGTCTTCTCCTCCTTTTATAGCTAGCCCATCCCCAAAAGTGTCCGTTGGACATTTAGTAGGGTAGTGATGGGTGATAATTAGGGTAGTAAGTAAGGGTTTAAGTGGGGGGTTATGGATAATAATAATAATAATTAGATATTTGACTAGTGGTAATGAGTGGGGTAATAATAGGGTAGTAAATGGGCTAACGGCTAGTTTTAGGCCGACCCTACACCCGTGCCGATTCCACACTCGCCGCCGACTCCTGGACCGAGCCGACTCCTTGGTTTGACCCGTATCTCTTTTGGGCTTGCTCCATTTTCTTCTTGGGCTTCCCTTCTTTGTCTGGGCCTTATCTCTTTTCTTCTTGGGCCCCGAGCCCACGGGGTTCACACCCCATCAGAAACTAATGGCCTTACAGGCTAAGTTAAGCCAACTTTCCAAAAATATTTTCTAAGATTTTGTCATTGACCGAGAAGTGACGCGTACTTCTCAGTTCGAAGAAGTGCCAGAGCATAGCGATTGATTGTAAAAATAATAATTTTATTTTCAAAATGCATAGTGACCGAGAAGTGAAGAGTACATTTTGGGTGTCTAAACTGATAAAAATAGTAATGTTATTTTCAATGGTAAAAATAATATTTAATATGATACATAGTGATTGATTGTCTATTGAAGTTTTAGTGTGTGTGTGAACATAAAAAGTATATGAGTATTATATTTTTGAAATTTACATAACTTATTGTAAAACTTGATAGGATTAGAGGAAAAATTTGTATGTTTAGACAGAAGGAACAAATTTGTATAGAAAGTTTAAAATTTTGAGGTTTGATTGTGGATTTTAACTATTTATATTTGTAAAAAAAAAAGTATAGAAACTCTAATTTGATAGTCTTACAAAAATGGAAATAAACAAAAATGAAATAAATAAATGAGTTTTTCTCAAAATGATCCCTCGACTATTCTCAAAATGGTCCCTTGACTATTTTTCAGAGTATATTTGGCATATAATGGGTAAAAGGACGAAAATGCCCTTCATTTTAACACTCAATAGACGGAATTTCTAACGGATGAACAATTTGGGGGAGTTTTTAAAAGTCAAGGGACCATATTGGGTGCAATTAAAAGTCAAAATGCAAAATTGAGAATGAGTAATAGTCGAGGGACCATTTTGGGAAAAAACTCTAGAATAGGAATTGTATTATATTGTTTGATTCGCGAAAGGAATAGACTTTAGGAATTATATTATAGTGTTTGGTTGATTTAAGGAATAGAAATGAAATATGTTTTAAAAGACATAAATATCCTTACAAAAATATGTGATGGTGGCGATGGTGGCGGTGGTGGCAGTGGTAGCGGCGGTGGTGGTGGTGGTGACGGCGGCGGTAGTAGTGATGGTGGTGGTGGCGGTCGTGGTGCTGGTGGTGGCGGCGGTAGTGGTGGCGGTAGTGACGGTGGCGCTGCTAGGGTGGTGGTGTTGGTAGCGATGGCGGTGGTGGGGTGGTGGTGGTGGCGCGGGTGGTGGGTGGTGGCGGTGGCGGTGGCGACGACGGTGGCGATGGTGGTGGTGGTGACGGTGGTGAAATATGAAATAAATTTAATTGGGGGTAAAAATTAGGAAATAGAAACTTTAGGCTATTTCTGATAACTCATGAATAGCATAATACCGGCGGGGGGGGGGGGGGGGGGGGGGGGGGGGGGGGGGGGGGCTAGGAATCTCTATTCCCCTTGCAAGGGGAATAGGTCATTCCCGGGAACATTGTTCCTGGGAGTACAAGTGGTTACCAAACAGAGGAATATGCCTATTACTAGGAATGCTATTCAATTTCAGGCCTATTTCGTGAACCAAACAGCCCAAAAAAGTGAGGCTCAAACCCATGACATTTCACTTAGAAGAGTTACTTCATGCCAATAGACCACACGATCATTGACGATTATTTAATATTTCAATTATTCAATAGTATTAACTTTCGATTTTGGTCGGTGACCAATATATATATATATATATATATATATATATATATATATATATATATATATATATATATATATAAAAGCACATGTGACAAATCTAAACCATTGATCTAGTATATCAAATGGGTGAAAATAAACAAAACTTTGTAATATTTATGAAAATGACCTCGCTCATTTTAAAATTTTTTAATATTTATGAATGACCCTGCTCATTTTTTACTTGATTTCTCATCCATCAGATATTGCAGATTAATGGTTTGATTTTGTTAACAAATTCTCACATGAGAAGTGGTTTTCATATGGCAAATTATGTTGTGGAACCGTGCCCATCTTGTAGTGTGGACACGGTTCCAAAATTGTTCATAATTTTGAATAGAGAAAATTTTAATTTTGGTCCACTGACTATTGGAGTTGTGTTAATTGTAAGACTTGACTTTCAAAAATGTTAATACAGTACCTTGACTATGCAATTTCTATCAATTTTGGTCACGCCGGCCAAATCTCACCGAAAAAATTTAATAGGTCAAATAATAATGGACTTCCATTTGGAAGGTTGTGAGTTCAAGCCCAGTAGTATTCCAAAAAAAAAAAAAAAAAAAAAAAAAATAAAAAAAAAAAAAAATATATATATATATATATATATATATATATATATATATATAAAAGCCCATAAAAATTACCTGTCTGCCATTCATTCTGTAAAAAGCCCATAAAAAGTAATTTAATGTTTTGACCCTAGCCCAATACAAAACACAAAATAGCATAGCCCTAACCCATCCCTTATTCCGCCATATCGGGCTCTCAGCTTTGCTTCTCCATACTTCTCCCTCGTCTCTCACCACCTCTGCGCCTCCTGCCTCCGTTCACGCCCTCGGCGACACTCCGGTCAGCCGGTCACTCCCTCGCTCCTCAGTCCTCACTTCATCGACTCAGCAGTTGCGTCCGTACGGGACTCAGGCACTCAGCGGAGACCGTACGGGACTTAGGCACTCAGCGGCTCTGCGACCTCAACTCAGCTTCGCCCCTCAGCTAGTCAGCTGCTTCACTGAGTCACAATAAATCCATGGCTCAAGGTAAATTTTTATTTTTTACATATTAACATTAAAAGGGATTTCATACATTATATGCTGCCATTGCTGCCGACTTCATACATTAAATTTTTACTGTTTGAAAATTAATTCTGGAGTCTGGACAGTATGTTATTGGGTTTGAAATTTTTAAATTTTCTTTAATTGTTCATTAATATTTTATGTAATTTTTTGAGAAATAACCAAAGGAGTTACTGTGTTTTAGAAATTTAATCCTGGAATCTCAAGTAGTCAAGTATGGTACAATAGAATTTTTAATTATTAATTGTGGAATAATTTGTTAATCTAACGGACTGTCTTAAAAAAGTTTGTTTCAGGTTTTGCAATGTGTTATGGCCTAATTGTTTACACAATTACACCTATTTACAAATATTTTTTTTCTTTTCTTTTTTCTTTGTTTTTTTGAGTACATTTGGTGAGGATAGGGAGGTAGGATTTGAACAGGGACTTAGCTTATACCACATATACAAGTATAAAACTGGACACCACATCCACTTGCAATGATGCATATTCTGTTGCCCCAACTAAGAACAAAAGGAATGGATAAAATGGGGAATGCAGGAGAGTAAGGGGAATCTCAAGATCCTAACCCTTACCCTTTTTGAATTTTGCTTCTGCAGTTGAGCACCTAGAGACAATGTGGGAAGAAGAGAAGAAGGACAATTGTAATGGAGAAGAACAAAATCCAGTGAATACAAATAAGAGAAAGTACAAGGAAGTTGCAGTATTTGGGAACTATAGAAACTACTATGGATACAGAGTAACCTCCCATACTGGCTTCTTTGTCTGTAGTGTGTTTTGGTTTACACTTCTACCTGTAAATATATTATCATGTACATATGTGCATATGCTAAGACACTTACAACTATTAATAGCTTGCAATTCCCTTGGATACCCAATCATTAATATAAACTTTAAGTTTTAGCAGGGACCTTTGCTGGCTGTTCAGCTAATTAGTGCAATGCTAATAAAGTATCAACCCCCTCCCTTTGCTATATACACACAAGTGCATATGTAATACATTTATTTACCTTATTATTATTATTATTATTATTATTATTATTATTATTATTATTAATTTCTCTGTTGCTGAATATGAATGATTTAGGATTAAAAATGTGATTTTTCTTTAGCATTTAACGTACACAATTTATAAATTGGTTTTTATAGTGGGTTGGAATTATTCCTTAGTTTTGAAGTGGAGTTTCACCTACTTGTTATGCTGTGTTCAGATTGGCCTTGATGAAGATCCTAGGTTAAAGGCTATGAAGAAAGAATGGTTTGAAGGCAAGAATTGTCTTGATATTGGCTGCAATAGTGGAGCTGTTACTATTGCTATTGGTATGTATTTGAAATTTTAATAGCTTTAATTTTTATCTACAGTTTATATATTTCTCAATTTGGCATTTTTAGATGGATGAAAAGAAAGAAAATATCAAAGTCATTGATTATGACTGGTGAATATTTTCTGTCTACAGCTCAAAAGTTTTGTTGCCGAAGCATTCTTGGAATTGACATCGATAGTGGTAAATTCTCAGACCTAATCTTTTATAGTGCTTGTGTGTGTGTGCATGCCCCCCCTTTTTTTTTTCCCTGTAAAATCTTGTTTTGTTTAATCATTTCACTTTTTTCATCCTTGTATTATTTGTTTAGGAGTAATTTTTATCATTCAGGGTTGGAATTTAGTTTCAAAATTTTAAACATTTTGTCATTTTGGTCATTGACTCAATGGGTTAGCGGAAGTGTTTTGAGTGCTTACTTTTGAATGTTAAGCACCCTAACTGATGTTCATGTTGAAGATGACTTGTAGTCTTTAACTGTAACCATAACTATGCTTTTAGTTTCTTTTCTCATTCAGCTTAGTCAGCTGTGTGATTGATTTGTACATATTCCGTATATAGCTAACATCTGTACACATTTCTAAAGGAAGAAGGAAAACCATAAAAATTGGAAGGAGAAAGCTGTTTTCTTGGTCTTTGAATTCAGCCTGATGGCATCATACTTCTAATTAATAGCTATAGTGGATTAAGTTCTTTGTCTTTTATGAATTAGTAATCATAGGTAATGTGGAATTTGATAGTTGTGACATTTCAATTCAATTGTATAGCTTGACAGAGTTGTTCATTCTTCAACAGATCGAGTTACGGATTCTTATTGGCATCTCAAGAAAGTAGAAAGGGCTCATGAGAGATTGCTATTGAAAACATCTAAACAAGTGGATTCTAAGAGGTTAAATGGTTTGGAGGGCCATCTAGCAGAGTCTCTTAATGGCAGAACAAGGGATGATTCTGAAGAATCTCATGCATCAGGAAGGAGAGATTTGTCTGACATAGTGTCTTTTAAAAAGGCAAATTTCATTAAACATTGGAATACACCAGAAGATGTGCCTTTTGATACAATTATATGGTACATACAATTGTGCCTTACATTCTATTGGGCTAGTTGCAACTTTACTTTAGTTTTCTTTTGCTTGCTCTCATATATTTTTAGTTTACGACGGATTCTCATTTTCTTTTTGCAGTTTAAGTGTGTCAAAATGGGTGCAGTTGAATTGGGGTGATGAGGGATTAATCACCTTATTTGTGAAAGCCTGGAGGCTTCTTCGACCGGTACTAATATGCTAAATAATCTCCAGAATTGCATTATATGAATGTTATTGAAAATTGACTCAACATTTTGAACCCTTTGCAGGGTGGTGTGTTTATTTTGGAACCGCAGCCCTGGAATTCATATCATAAAAATCGTCTTGTCTCAGAGGTAACATTCCTGCGTCTTTGCATATGGTTAAGTAAATTAAGTAGGAATTCATAGTATCATTGAGATCCTAGAAAGCCTAATTCCGCAGCTCTCGTATAAAATTTTCTAGCCTTATTTTGCAGACAACTAGAATTAATTATCAAAATATAAAGATCCATCCCGAAGATTTTCAGGACGTACTTTTGGACAAGGTGCATTTTTTTTTTTTCTTTCCCCAGTCAATACCAATGATGTTGTATATCATATCTGTGAATAAAGCAGTACCAAACTGATGTTTTGAATATTTTCAAACTAATTGCAGATTGGATTTCGGAGGGTAGAAGACATAACTTCTAATGCGTCTGGTCAAAAATCTGGATTTCAAAGACCTATTTTTGCATTCTGGAAATGATTGATCCACTTCTTCATGGATGATAGTGAATGCCTTACTGTTATGTATATGCATATTTTGTATCAGATAGAGGGATTTACAGGTAAAATGTTGCATGTGATATTAGTTGGTGGTTTTGTCTTCACCACCTTGTTGACTGATCTTGTTCTATATATATGTATTAATTATTCGAAATGTGTGTGTTTACTACAATGCCTTTCACTAATTAAAAGTGAGGTTTTAAATTTTATTTATTTATTATTATTATTTTTCCTGAAATGGTGAAATAAAAATTAATGATAGCTTGTCTAGAAGTTGTGCTGCTTAGACTCCTGGCAAGTCTTGCTGATATATTAGTAATATTACACTTATTCCTAAGATCTAGGTGTATGATCTCACTTGACCTCTTAGCTTTCAAACCCTACGTTTATCATAGTATTCTTAGTCATATGTATGTAATGCGCAAAAATAACTTAACTAACTTAACTGCACACCAAAGTGCAATTAGGCCATCGAACTGAAAAAAATGTAATTGGGTCTTTGAACAATGGTCTTTAAACTTTGCTAATGTAATGGTTGCGGATTTCAAAAATAATTTTAAATAAAATAATTAATTTTAAAAAAAAAACAGCACGACTGGCGAACTTCATCTCCTCCATGGTGACGTCCGGCCATGGAGACGAATCGTCTCCTTGGTCACGGAGACGAAGGGCTTCATCTCCTGCCATTGAGATGAAGCCGGCCGAAGACGAATCGTCCCCGTCCGTGTTTTTTTTTTTTGTTTGTTTGTTTGTTTGTTTGTTTTGTTTTTGATTTTTAATTAATTATTTTAAAAATTATTTTAAAATCCGAAATATCCACACAAGTCATTTAAAACTTAATTGTATGAATTTGTGTTGTTCAGGACCCAATTATTATTATTATTATTATTTTTTTTTTGAGTTTGATGGTCTAATTACACTTTGGTGTGCAGTTGAGTTGCCTATTTTACCCTTATTCCATAATTGTTTAATATTATTACACAATATTAAATTTGGAATGATGTTCAAATAAGTTGTCAAATTGCACTCGGAAATGCAATGCCGCAGTTGAGTCATGCGACTTAAAAAAATTGTAATTAAATCTCTAAACAGTCCAAAATTATGCCATTAGACTAAAATTAACTAGTTTGGTTACGTTGATGTCGCGAACATTTCATAAAAAAATTATTTCAATAATTTTAAATATTTAAAATATTAAAATAAATTAAATACGCAAGTATGACACTCGTAGTGATCAAATTCTCTCTCTAGGCTCTCTAGGGTTTTTACCTCCATACTACGGTTTTCCTAGGTTTTTGCTATGTTAATTCTTTTCCGGTGATTGCCGGTCCAGTTCACGCTACGAACGATGCAGGCGACGCTAAGCAGTGGATGATGGCGACGAACGAATAGCGATTGCCGAATGAGGAGGTGGCTGCCGTGACCGAACAGTGGGCAGATTGGTCTTTGGAGGAGGAGGAGACGGCTTTTGCGACGGCAGGGGAGGATCTCGGAGATGCGGGGGACGTAGGGGAGGAGACCTGGAGGGTGCTCGGGAGGTTTCTCACGCAGAGGATGGTGAAACTTGACTTCATGAGACAGGTTTTGGCATCCGTATGGCAACCGGTAAGGGGGGTTCAAGTAACAGAGATCCAAAGGGGTGTGTTTTTGTTTGTGTTCTTCCATAGGGGTCCTTGGGCTTTTGAGAATAATGCTTTGGTTTGTCGGGAGGTCGCGGCTAATGCAATCCCGGGGGAAGTGCCGCTGGATACGATTGACATGTGGGTACAGTTGCACGATATGCCGTTGGGGTATACGTCTCATTCTGTTTTGGAGCAGGCTGGAAATTTCATAGGCACCTTTGTCAAACATGATGATCGATTTGAAGGGGCTCCGTGGCTAACTTTCCACCGCATAAGGGTGTCTATTATATTCCAGTTGATAAACCGTTAAGGAGACGCATGAAATTATTAAAAAGGGATAAGTCTATGGCTTGGGTCACCTTTCGCTACGAACGGCTGCACAAGTTTTGCTTTTTCTGTGGTATAATGGGGCATCTGCACACCTTTTGTATCAAGGCGAGGGATGCTGGAATTCCAGTGGAACGGTACCCGTATGGGCCGGATATGCGAGCTGGTGGATCCCGGAGCGCTCCTAGAGCGGTTGGGGATAACTGGCTTGTGCCGGTTGGCGGGAAGCCGCGTCCGTTGGAGGCGGGACCAGGGGCATCTGGTGCGGCGGTTATGCCGCTTACTCACGGGATAGCCGTGTATAGTTTGATGGCACGATGTGAGCAGGTAGAGGCGACCGGGAAACGACGTCGGCAGTACACGGGTGAGGGTTCGGGGGTGGAGCAAGAGGGTGAGGATGTGGTTATAGCAGAGGGTTAAAAAAACTTGTCCATGGCGGGAGCTGGTTCTCAGCCCCGCCCGTCATCATGAGTACGTTAAGCTGGAACTGTCGTGGCTTGGGTAATCCACGAACAGTTCGACAAGTAGTGGACCTGGGGTCCCGTAAGAAACCCGATTTCGTGTGCTTAATGGAAACCAAGGTGGGACGGATACATGCAGAGCGCATCCGTGTCAAGCTTGGTTACGAAGGGCTGTTTTATGTTGATAACGATGGTTTGAGTGGTCTGGCTTTATTTTGGAAGAAAAATAATACTGCAAGACTGATGAGTTATTCTAAGAACCATGTGGATGTGGAAGTTAGTATCAATGGCAAGTTGTGGCGTATGATGTGCTTTTATGGATTTTCGAAACGCCAAGATCGACAAGAATTCTGGGACTTGTTGCGCACGTTACGAGGCAGATCCACGCTGCCGTGGGTGATGGTTGGAGATTTTAATAATCTCTTGTACCAGCATGAGAAGAGAGGGGGTAACACATATCTGGATAACCTCCTACGCGGTTTTGGGGAGGTTATTGATGAATGCCGGCTGGCGCAGATGCCCATGAGAGGACATCAGTTCACATGGGAAAAGGGTAGGGGCACACAGGATTGGATTGAGGAGAGACTTGATAAAGTTTTGACAACGGCAGAGTGGTGTAGTATGAATGAGAATGCATGTGTGGAGAATATACGAACTCGAGCTTCGGATCACTCGGTTCTCTTCCTTCACATTAATGCGATATGCATGCCGATGGGGAGGAACCCGAGGGGTTTCAGGTTTGAGATGGCCTGGCTTTTGGATGAAGGATGCAGGGATGTGGTGGAGTCTGCCTGGCAAAATGGGAGGACGGAGGGATTGCTAGGTTGCAAGCAGTATTGTGGAGAGAAATTAATGTAGTGGGGTGGCGACTGCTTTCATATGTTTGGGGAACGAATTGACCGATTACGGCGCCACCAAAATGCCGCGCTAATGCGGCCCTATGAGGTGGATGAGGTGAGAACAACAGTTTTTTCTATGTTTCCTGATAAAGCACTGGGGCCGGATGGAATGAATCCGGGCTTTTATCAACACTTCTGGAATGTGGTTGGGGGTGATGTATCTCTGTTTGTGGTAAACTGTTTGAATTCATGTGCGTTTCCGTAAGGTTTAAATGATACTAATTTTGTGCTGATCCCTAAGAAAACTGTGCCTGAGACAGTTGCTGATATGAGACCTATTGCATTGAGTAATGTTATCTACAGGGTAATGGCTAAGATGATATCGAATAGGATGAAACCGCGTATGGGGAAAATTATCTCAGAGTCCCAGAGTGCGTTTATCCCGGGCCATTTGATCACGAACAATATTCTGGTTGCAGTGGAGGTAGGGCATTACTTGAACAGGAAACAATGTGGTAGCGCGGGATGGGGTTCCCTTAAGCTTGATATGTCAAAGGCTTATGACAGAATGGTGATAAGTGCATATTTGTTCATATTTATACCTCATGTCTACCACATATTTAGCCTTGTTTTGCTTATGAAGTGTCACAATGTTGTTCAAAATGATCTTTATTTTGCTCATTTGATCGATTATGCACAATTCATTACCTTTGAGTAGAAATGAAGGATTTTAGATCATGTTGGATGCATTTGGAGTCAAGGGGAGCCAAGGTGAAGCTAAGGAGATGGATGCAACACTTCCAAAGGAGCCAAAGAGTGATGTTTTCAATGATGTTGATCATATGGACAAATTAAACCAAGGCAAAAGTGGAACAAGTGTCAACAAGCTGAAATTCTCGCATGGATTGGCCACTATTCTGTTTTTGGGTCATATCTCGGTCTAGAAGTATCCAAATTAAGTGATTCTTGTTCCATTGGAAAGAAGACTCAAAGGGCTACAATTCTTATAAATACATCAAAACCTAAAAAGGAAGCCACAGGGGTCGAAATTGTCCTTGAAGTTGAAGTTCCAAACTTACAATCCAAAACTGACCACTGTTTGGATTTTGGAACATATCTCGGCCTAGGAATGTTAAAAGGAAGTGATTCTTGCTCCATTGGAGAGAAGACTCAAAGGTCTACATCTTTCATGAAGACAATAATTCCAAATTCCGATGTTTTGAAGGCCAAAAGACACGGCCAAGTGCACGGCCGTGTAATTTCTGTGCTGTTTCCAGAAACTGCCCAGATTTGCGATTTTTAAGACACGGCCAGTGACATGGCCATGTCTATGGTCGTGTCCACTGTGCTCTGCTACTATTTAAGTGCGATTTCAGCATTTTCACTTGGTTTTGGACCTTGTTCCAACCCTAAACATTTCTTTTCACTTCCTTTCATATTTTAGTGTTATATTAGGCTTAGATTTATGTTCTTTAACACATTTCAAGCTTGTAATCAAGGATTCAACACTTGGATTTCAAGATTTGCCATCCATTTCTTAGTGAAGTTTTCTTTCTCTTATCTCTTTATTTTGCAAGATTTATGTTTAATACTTTTGTTTTTGTGTGCTCTTTATGCTATTTAATGATGAGTAGTTAGTTTATGGGCTTGAGTTAGAGTTGTATTATCTATCTTGATGCTTGATTTGTGATTATTGCAAAAAGGGGAAGAACTCTAACCTAGGGTTCATGTGTTTGTGAAGGTTTCGTGTTTATATCTTGTTAATGTTTGATGTACACATTCATTAGCTTGTTTTTGGAGGATTCCTTGCCTCAACGAGAGCTGGGTGATGAATCCAAGCCACCCCTTGCATAGACCCGATTTCTTCCTACGAAAATAGGAGAAATTGGGGGCTTTAGATGCTTTGTGTGCAATGCTTGATGGACTTGGAATTGATTCACCATGAAAGTGGGGCAATTCCTTGT